TAAGATTGATATTTGCTTTTAATTAGTTTCTATTCTATTTTAAGTATTTTTAATAGTGCTTTCTATGCTTTCTTATATGGATCAATAAATATAGATTTTGATTCTAATGTTAGACTTGAAGATAAAAAAAGAGTTTGAATACATAGATAGAAATATATATATATATATATATATATATATATATATATATACCTTGGTATTAAATTCATTGAATATTCTTGCTATTTTTACTAATCCAACTATCTTTATAAATAAATGATTTCCATTAGGTGCTTATCTAGATCTCAAATTGGTTGATTTAATTGAGAGATAATAATTTCAAAGAAATTATATTCTCTTTTATATATTGTGATATAATTTTTAATCACTTAGAAATTAGAATTCTCATCTATTAGATATATCCACAAGTTATAGGAGATAGAAGGTAGATCTTTTCAAAATAGACAATCTTGTGGTTCAAGATTAATTTTTTCTTCTATTTTTTTTATAATAAAAAATATTTAATCTTCAAGATTGAATATGTTGTAAAAATATTTTATTTATTTTGTACATATGATAAAAAAAATGAGTTATATGGAAGATCCTAAAATTAATCTTGATTTATTCTACTTTAAGAATTTATTATAAGTATCATGGAAAATATTGAGTTCTTTGATTTTGATAAACATTATCATTTTGGATCAAATATTATCTATTCTTAATTAATTTTTTGACATGAAATACCAATTGTGAAGAGAAATTAAATTCCATTCATAGCTTGGCTACTATTTGCTTAGAAATTTAAAGGATATTTTTTGAATTTAATTTTTGGAATTGTTTTGGATATTTGATTTGCTTAGATAGAAAGCTTTGAACACCTAATTCAAAAGAAGTATAACCATTGCTTGTTTTAGATAAATTAGTCTTGATTTATTTTATTGTATTTTATTTTTATTTTTTTGGTACACAAAATAGATTTTATCTAACTTTAGCTCCAATAAGTTTTTTGAAAGCTCCTTAGATGCAACTTCTTACTATAATTTTGAGTTTTTTTATAACTTTTAAAGACTTCTTTTCTAGAAGCTAAAAATGAAGAGAAGAGAGTAAGATTCCATTAATCCTAATAGTTCTTTTAGATTTAAAAATATAGATTATGTATCTAATATTCAACTTCTTTTTTGTTTTGTTGATAAAAAAATAATATTTATTTTCAATTCTTAATAAGATTTCAAATGATGTATTAAGAAGTTTACATACGTTTTATTCATTAGTTTATTTCCATTCAAATAAATTATTTCGAAGTAGCCATGTAATATTTTGTATTGTTAGGAAGCTACTAATTTTTTCTAATTAATTTCAAGATTATATGCCTTAGCAAAGTTTTAAAGTATTTGTATAATATTTTATATATATTCTTTATTACCATGTAAGGTTAATATTTAGTTGTTTGTATACTCAATTAAAGCTTGTTAGCTATGTTATAAAAGAAGAGACGATCTTTAATACAATTGGCTTCAATCTTTGATTGTATTGTTTGGTTTAAGATTTCTTCTATTATAAAGAATAGATAGAAATTAGAAAGATAATCTTTTCTAATTATTTTCAAGATGAAAAAATAAGATTTTTAATTTCTATTTACTATTGTACTAGCTCAATTGAAGATAATTTTTACCATCTTAATAAAATGATTATCAAATCCTAATTTATTCATGGCTATAGAAAAAAAAATCCTATAAAATAAAATTACTAGCTTTTATAAAGTCTAATTTTAGTATGAAGATAGATGAATTTGATTCTTGACCTAAGTTCTAATTTCTAAGTTTATTAAAATATTACCTAGAATAATGAATTGGAGCAAAAAAGTTAGAGAATTTGGACTACTAATCTCCATTAAATAAAATTATTTTTTTACTATAGTAATTTTTTATACATCTTTTTAAGAGTGTTTTTGAAAGTGATAGGTTTCTAATTTTTTGAGGCGTTTCTTAATGCTCTTTTGTGTAGGAAGATAACAACTCTCTAAACCATAGGTTAATAAAAGACTTCTTCATTGATGGCAATCTTTGTCGTAGCTAAAGAATCATCTCTATTAATTCTCCAAAATTTCTTGAAGAATTTAACACCAATATTGTCAAGGCCTAGGATTTTTTTTTGGCTATGTCTTTGATAGATTTATGTAATTCTTCACGTATCATTTCTTTAGAAAGATCATGGTTTATCTTATCATTAACTTTAGCATGGACTTTTTTAATGGTTTTATTTGATGCTACTATGTTTTTAAGATTATAACCACATTAAAGAATAAATTGATAAAGAAGACAAGATATATCTTTTCCAATTCTTCTTATCCTTTATATGTAGCATCATTTTTATATTTCAGTTTTATAATATGACTCTTGAGATATTTTTTCTTTACCGCATTAAAAACCATTTTTGATCTTATATCTTGGATTTTCAATTTTATATGGTTGCATGTTATTTTTGCTTTAGTTTTTTTTTTTTTTTTTTCTTTTTTTTCTTTTTTTTCTTTTTTTCTCTCTCTCTTAGCTTGATAGGTTTTTTTTTTGAGTTTTTTATAAAGATAATTAGAAGAATAGATTTTGGCAATCAACTTATAAATTAAAGCTTGATACTTCTACTTGCCTTCTTATCTTTGTGGTGTATTGAGTTATAATAGTTGCTTGATCATTGCAAAATTCTTTGTAGAATAATAAAAACTTCTTAAGTCTATTAGAAAAAAATTCTAATTTTTAGGACCATGAGTCTAAATTCTAAAATCTAAGTTTTATCCTAAAAAAAAAATTCTTAGATTGGCTTTGTTAGAAGTAAATAGAACTTTTAGTAGAAAAGCAATCATAAAGGGCTATATTTTGTCTAATTTGATATGTATTAATCATGTGTGTTAAATAAGATGTTTATTTATATGAAGTCTATTAATTTAGCTAAGATACTTACTTTATTTTTCTTATCTTCCTATGAATAATTAATGAGTTTACTTCCTATAAATTGACATTCTAATTAGAATCTAGCTTTGAAAACTTTCTATGATATTTTTTTATTTTTTATTAAAATTCTCTTATAATTGGAATATTTATCTTTTTTTAATTTTTTTGTTAAGCTCTGACTTCCACCTATAATCCATGGTATGTTAAAAAAAAAAAAAAAAAAATCCCCATATCTTTCTATAAATGTGTTCTTTTATTATATTTATATAATTCATGTATATTGACTACATAAATAACTTGATCATGAAAGCCTAAGAAGACAATGTACAATATTCTATTGTCAATAAGCAACTTAAAATTTTATACGAGATATCTAATCAAAGGTTCCATGAGCATTCATACTTTGCTAACTCTTAATCTATTTGGATTTATCACATAGTTTAAAATGCTTTCAAGAATAAATTAAAAGGAATGTTAAATAGATCCATGGTTTCACTAAATTGATCCATCCATCCTAACCATTATGAAAAAGTAAAAATAATGAATGATCTCTAGATTCATTTTTCTACTATTGGATCTAAAACTAATGAAAACCAACCACATTTATCATGATTACCATATTTTTCATCATAAATAATTTTATTTAATATTTTTTTTTATCTATTTAACATTTCTCTAAATTAAAGGGAATGTTGAAATGATCCACCCTATTGTAACCATCATCAGAAAAATAGATCATCTCCAAAAACCTTCATTAGAATCTGACCCTCATCCCAACTCTCATTATTCCCAGCCCCCGTTCCTTGCATTCCTAGCCTTCATATTGTCCCTCTTGTTCCAATGTCCCCCTCCCTCCATTCCCATCCATTCCCATCCAGGCTCCATGTTCCCAACCCTCATCCCCACTCCCTCCGATCTTACGATCAAACAGCTACCAGGATATCTAAGACATGTATAGCACAAGGCAATCGTCTAACAACATTTTGTATGAATGAGAGAACTTCACATTGCACTTCATGAGGCTGTGAATAAAATCACAACTCGGACCGCCATAAACCACGTTCTTCTGAGCGTCATGAAGCTCTAGAAATCCTTCACAAGAAGGGACTTCACCGAGTACAACATCATGTCGTTGCACGAGGTTGTGGTAGAGTTCTTGCTGCTCATGAACGATAATAACATGGAGGTGAATCATCTGAAAACGATCGTAGAGAAAGAGAAGGACATAAGCCAGATACTGAAGAAGATTATCCTCGTGGACTCTGATGATCTCTAATATCAAGGGCAAGAGCTTGAAATCTTGTTTCACCGCGCTGAGAAGCAACCTTTTACGCACAAACGGAAGGAAAAAGTTCGAACGGAGAGGTGTGAACAAAACTGCTTATAATCTTTGTACAAAACTTATTCCATTTCGAGTGTCTTTTTATTATGTGGGAGTAACAACATACGTTAGCAGTTATATTGAGTCTTTGTTCTTCCGAGACACATTTTCTCGCATTTTTCTTTTTAGTCGAAGTCACAATCTGTCCTGCTGTATTTAGCCTAGAGGCAAGAGGTACTTGACGTAAAGTCCTCCGAAGGCGGCCAGGAAAACGTGGTTGTGGCTAAACCGCTACAAGGGTGTGGCGCCAGAGGAAGGGGAGAAGAGGAAGCTGGACAACACGACGTTCTTGCAAAACCAGGTGCAGAAGCTTATTTGCACCACTTGGGAGACCATAGCTGAAAGCTAGCAGACCACTTGGAGAATTCCCTTTGGGACGGGCAAGTGATTCGGAAGAAGAAGGAAGTGATCGATTGGCTAGAGTCAGCGACATCTGCAGTTCGTGAGGGAGGCTACAACCAACTCATGCAGGAATACGATCAGCTCACTGATCCAGCCCGACAAATTTCTACCAGGAGTTCGGGCTTTGTGTTGCAATGCAACTACAACGATGGCATACCAGGCCAGGATTTGCTGCTGCAGCAACTCATGTCCCGGATTCCAGCGTTATGGTGCTCAGATAATGCAACCATGGCCGCGTTCCTAGAGGCTAACCTTGGTTCTACCGCGATCCTTGCTAACGGTGACGGCTGAGAGCGAAGGTTGGGAACATGGAGATGAAGGCTGGGAACTCAGGGAACGGGGGCTGGGAACGAAGAGGGTCGGGATGAGGGTTAGATTCCAATGATGGTTTTTGGAGATGCTTCATTTTTTTATGATGGTTACAATAGGTGGGTCGTTTAGTAAATGCGTGGGTCACTTTATCATTCCCCTAAATAAATAAATAAACAAACTCCGCTTTTGGCCAAACATTTGTTGTGTCCTACACGACTTATGTTCTAGGTTTAAGAAAAGACCCCATTTTGGTTGGATGCTAGTAATATAACTCCGCAATGTAAGAACTTTTGCAAGGTCATTTGTAGCAATACATGTCCAAGATCATAAACAGGGAATGTGAATAAAAAGCACATACTAAAACTACACGTTTTAATACAGACAGGGAACTGTACCGTCGATGTTGTGACTTAGGGGATTGCGACGAGCTGGAGGCCGGAGCGATGGTGGGTGTCGATGGCCAAGCAAGGCTTGATGTAGTTCACTGCCCCCGCAATTGCTCTGCCGAGCTTAGAGTCCGCGCCGTCGTAACGGCACTTGTATTCAAGCTCTGGGATCTGGTAGCAATTGTCCACCGACTGCGCCCTCTCGCACGGCGTGAGCACCTCGTCCCTGGACTCCACGATCCACGGCGTCAGTGCTCCGTAAGCTTGTGCGAGTCCGCCGAAGGTCGACTGAGGACTCAGGAGCAGCGTGTGCGAGAAGCTCAATCTCAACACCTCGACCAAAGCTTGGTCATACGCCTCGGCTCCGAAGCGCTGCTCGATTTCGTTTGATAGCTGCACGAAGTTGAGGCTCGTGGGTAGGGATGTAGTGCTGCGATTGTAGACACCGCGGAGGTGCTCCTGCAAGTCGGGTGTCAAAGAGGCGATGAAAATGGTGGTCTCGTGGTCCTTTTCCTGTGCGGGTATGGCTTGCTCGAGGAGGTTGTTCTCCAAGAGGCAGCTCTCTACGTTCGCGTTGAGTATCTTGTGTTTGGTTGCGCTGTTGTTGAAGTAGCGTGCTTGGATGCCTGTCTGTCGGAATGAGATGAATTAGGTTGATGGTGTTGAAGCTTTGATTCAAGATAGCGAACAGGATTCCAAGTGTCGGTTCCATATACCTGTGTGTGTGCACTGTCGAAGTATTTCTTCACAGTACTGACCCTTGCCCAGGTTTGATCTCGGGGAAGGAAGTTGGCACGCAGGATTTGCGTGAGCGCCAGTGTCGGATCGGGAAACAATGCCTCCAATGTTTTTCGAATAGATGGAATTGCAAATAGTTTCGGTAGGAAGTACAGACACCCGTGAATAGTCAGCCATGGTACTTGTCTGAAATACGATTGCTCTACGTCACAGAAGAATCTGCAGCGCCACAAATTTACAACGTGTTAACGTCTCAGCATTCCATTGCGGAAGACAAGTACTCTTAAAAGAACAATTAGGGCTTCCGAAGCTGAAAATACCTGCTGTTGGGTTGCCAGTTATCATCAATTCTGGAAGCATACATCGGGATAGTGCTTTCGTGTTCCCGTTTCGCTCTATCCACGTCGCCCATGAATTCTCGAGTTTCATTCCATATTGGAACACTGTAGCTCACAATGTCCTCAGAGAGTCTCCATGAAGATCCAGGAAATGGTTCACACATTAGGTCGGGCACACCAGTGGACTCACTGATAAGGAACACACGCTGGGTGAGGACTGCGTACACAAGTGCTGGAGCCATGATGAAAAGCTTGTTTCCCATGCCGTTCTTGGCGTCAGCAATCATGAACTTGCAACCCGTGCTGGTGTTTCGCTCGAAGAAATACTCGGTCAGATTTCCAGCTGCTCGGGTGCAGACTCTGTGAAACCTAGCGTATTCGAAGAGTACTGTGCCCCATTGTTTGGTTTCAGACCTCCCTGGAGTTTTCCTGTTTGGGCTGTAGCTTATGCGGCTGTAAAAAGATGATAGCTCTGTCCTGCTTTTGCAAGGATTCTGTAACCTCCACAGATTGAGGTCAATATCTCTGTCTGCACTCACTCCTGTTAGCTTCTCCACTGTAGTTACGGCCTTTCTCAAAGCGTCGATCAATGATTTGATGGGTATGCGCAGAGGCGATTCGACTGGCAGCTTTCCTGTCGACAAATTCGCCAACGACGATGTTGAGTAAGCAGGGAATTCTTTCAGTTGCGTCGCTGGCGACCAGCCAAAAGCCGAGGCAAGTGTTGAGTTAGCAGTAGCTCGGTTCACCACGAAACCTCCCCAGTAAACCATGACCACGACCACGATAAGCAAAGACCCAAACACAAAATTGGATGGCTTTGTGATCCACATTGTCACGTTCTTGCCCATGGCCTGACCTCTACGTGGTGAGTTCAACATCCTGTGAATAACTGCTGAGGTTACGAAGTCAGGACTCTGAGCAATGAGGATCCAAGCTGTTTGCATACATCCTCCCTTTCTTTCAACGAAGAACTGCACTCCGTGCGCAGAACAGAGCTTCTTCTTTCAACCCCGTCTCGATCCGTATCCTGCAAATTTCCTCTCCGAGAACACCCTATTCTGCTAGCGGCTTTGTAATTATCCTTAAAATTCCGCTACGCAATCATGCACTGGTGCGGAGACATTGTGTGACAGTGGATCTCCAGCGAAAATTTGAATTTTGAGCGAAGACTCTACGTAGTCTAAAATTTCTGAGTGGTTTGCCATTGTTTCAAATAAGTGCATGGCAGCCAGAGCAATGCGGACTATTCGCTGGCAACAATGTCTACTTCAGCCAACAGATGTTGATTGTCAACATTATGAGCCTTCTAAATGGAACCATGGCGCTGAAGATGACTGGTATGTCCAGTTCAGAGCGAAACTGTGGTGTTAGCTTGTCCATTTTGTGGTCGTTCGAGTGTTGTAGGTCAGCTGGCTCTGCAAGAATTGCAACTAGAGGCGTTATCGACCATTAAGGTTCGTTTGTAACGGATCGTTGTCGTAAAAATCTGATGCCTTGGTCGATGCATGGTTACCACCTCATCAAACGCACTGGAAGCACGGCAAATTGCAAAGCGAACTGCATCATCTGTGCTCTAGGCCGTCACTGTTCTTGGCGGAACTCTTCGAACTAACGTTAAAAAAACCCAAAACTTGAAGTTCAGACACATAAAAAACCATGCTGTCAAAAGCCACGTCACTGAGTTGTCTCGCTAGCAACATGAGGTATGGAGCTTTAAGACGGCAGCCACGATTAAAACGGCGATCATGATCGTTGTTTGACTCAAGAGTCTCAGGTAATGAGTGAGAATCCTCTCTTCTATCATCAAAAGTAGTTTTAACGCAACGCCACTCTTGGCCATGATAACTAGGTCAGAACGCGACTCCATTGGAAATTTGGGTGAAAGCTCTGGAGTAAGTGAAGGCTCTGCAACACAGCTCTAGGGCATGGTCTCCTTTACTGCAGAAAGATCGCTTTTACCCATGGTTTCTCTTGCTGGGATACATTTAATCTGCTCCGTTTGTTTCGCCGAGAGTCGTTTCTTCGAAACCAACGAAAATGCAAAAGAATGCCAATCAACTCATGTGGCTGTGATCACCGCTTAGCCTGACCGTTGTCAAATCACGTAAAACCCTAAACCGTGAGCATTTTAACAGAATTGCGCGAAAACAGATAGGCAGGCAGGCAGGTTGGGCAGTGGAAATCAGCAGTGCATGTAGCCTCTGAGTTGGAGAACAATTTGTTTGTCTCTCTTCGCAGCAGTTATAAAGCTGTCGTGATTTGTGTGAAAATCGTCTTGCAGTTTTCGCAAACATTGCCATTCAAGTTCTCCAATGATGAGACAAAGAGCTCGAACGTTTCGTGGCAGACTTCAATCGTCCTCGCCAGTCTCCAGCTACCAGCCTCGACCTCAGCGTCAAGTAGCTGTTGTAGGATGCTCCTTTCATTTCAGATTGGGACAAGCTCAACGGTTCATGACCTCCAAGAGGCAGTGTTACCAAAAGACATGGTCAAGAAGAAGAAGCAAAAGTTTCCACCAGATTCAGTGGAAATGCTGCAAAGCGCTTTTTGTGTTTCCTCTTCACAAGAACTTCCAGTTCGAGGCTGCCTCCATGCCGCTACATTGGAATCGGCATTGTGCACCCCCTCGTAAGAATATAGGTCCTTGGGACTTTTGGAGGACAGCGAAAGCACAATTCTACCTAAATACAGAGAGAGAGTTATCACAGCTCCCAAATACTTGTGTGGTTGAAGTCGATCTCGACTGATTCGAAACGAGTGGGACACACAATGGCTCACATGCGAATGAGGACCCTGAAGATGCTGCCTAAAAGCGCGACGTACGAGACTCCATACACAACAGGAAGCAATGCTGCCCATTAAATTGCCCACGCATCCTGTGGCATCGAGGAACACAAGCATCTGCATCGGGTAATCAGAGAGCAGGCAATCTTTCGGCGTAAACGACGAGAATGTTAACCTTCTTCACCATCGTCACACACTCTTAAGTTGGCTTTCAGTTTCGGGCGAAGTTTGTGGACCAATTGTCGGAAGAGTCCTGGTTGTGGATCGTCAGCATTGTAGGAAACGATTGCGGCGCCTATTTCAAGTCCATTTCAAGCCAACCTGGTCGACGCTAAAGCTCAACCTCTACTTCAGCGTCGTCACAGACCAACATATGCGAAGAACTTCTGCATCAGCTCCTTGCGAGGTGGATTCCGGAGATGGGTCGTGCATCATCTAGACAGGAAAAGGCACCATCGCCGGGCTCAGGGCTCCCACATCACTCGTCACCTTCTTCTTCTTCTTCTTCTTCTTCTTTATCATTTTGCTTCGAGCTGGTTTCATCGACAATTCACACACTGTGATGTTCTGGATCAGCCTTCACTGCAGCTCCAGCAGCCATGGCCACTGATTCCTTCAACAACAACAAGAGCAGTTGAGCTATTCATCTATTACATTACACATTGCAAGCGGATATGCACAATCTGTGTTTCCATTGACAAAAATTTGAAGTGAAAGATGGAAAACACGTAAGAAGCGGAGTTTACGATGCAGTCGATTCGTGATGACATGGTGGGACTGCATTGAAATCGCTTCTTCTTGTACAATTTTGCATCTTCCATGTGTTGGTTTTGTATTGTTTTGTATTGTTTTTTAATCTCCAAGTGTTTGTTGTAGTTGTGTTTTTCCTGTTTCAACAGTCTGTTGGGAAGGTTTTTGGCACCCTGTGTGTGAAAAGGATGTGAGATAATGAATGACACAATGTTGGTGTGCTACATCTCCAACATTGTAGAGAAATATGAGCTTCAAAACTATCACACCTGATAGAGAAAGATATGAAGTGGCTTGTTTGAGGCAAAACATTATTGATGAGTATGAAAAGAAGAGTGAGGAGTTGTTGGATTATCTTAATGTTATGGAGGTGGAGTTGGATCTTCAACAACATGAATTTGAACAACGAGAAGCCTTTTTGCGACATGAAAACAATCTTCTCAAAAACAAACTAAACCAAAGGCTTAAATGGTCCAAACCAGAGGAATCAATATAACAGTCTGTAAGCATCAGTTCGGGAGCCAAGATGTTGAAAAAGAGATTAATGTGCAGACCACACAAGATAATGGGAATTGTGGAAGGAAACAGAAAAGAATTAAGGTCCGCATCCCTTACAATTTAGTTTTAATTGTCTTTTTTATATATATTAAAGAAATCATATTTTGTGGATCACATAACGTCCTGGAAAACTTGTTAGAATACAGTTTGATTTAAAATAACGTAGTGATAATCGTGATTATAAAATTGAATAGAGTGCATTATGTAGGAACTTAAAACTTATGTAGATGACTTGCAACTTGAGCTTCAAAAAGTTGGAGAAATGACATTGCGTCAAAAGCAAGGGATGGAACAATCTAAAAACAAAATGGAACGTGAAAACCAAGAACTTCGACTCAAAGTTGCTCTTGGTTGGATGTTGGGTTGTTTATCAGGTTTATTTTTTATTTTTTATGTGTGTATGTACACATAAAGTACAAATAAACTTTAATAGGATGAATAAATGCATAAAAAAAATCACTTGTATAATATTGTGTAAAAATGATGCTATTTATAATATCTGTAACTGAAAAAAACAGAATAAAAATAAAAATAAAAAAATTTAAAGGATACATTTAATAGAGTTCTTGATAAAAATATATATATATATATATATATATAAACTAACTTCTTTTTTTTCTTTTTATGTAGAGTTATATTCACAGGTTGAATTGAAAAGTAAAGGTGCAAAAATTATGAGCTTAATCAAGAAAGTTCAACAAGAACTTGTGTAGCTGGAAGTTGCATATTTAATGAGAAAGATTTATTTTCTAAATCAGAAAATGAAGCCACTCGAGTTGACATTCATCAGTTAATTGGAAATTCTCATCCATTGCGTACAACATCGTTGCAGAGTTCTCAAACAAATTATAATTCAAATCAGAAAACAGTCACATCTAGAGTTCAAAAACCATGTAGCGGAAATGAATCTTTAGAATATCCAAAGTGTAGCCAAAAGCGATGGCAGAAACACAATGTTGTGCATTTAAACAAAAATGAACAATAAGAGTACAAAAAATTAATTACGGACTCAATTCTTTCATTTCTGTAAGCGAACCTTGTTTGAGAATTACCTTTCGACTTGGTATGCTTGGAATATGTTTTTAGAATTACCTTTCAATTTAAGAAATTCAACTTGGTATGCTTGGAAAATTCAAGATTCAATAAACTTATTTTTCTTAATTATTCTATTTTTTTTCAAAAATAAAAAGCATTGGTTGATCCTAAAAATAATATATATATATATATATATATATATATATATAAATGTATTCAAAAATACGGATTATTAAAAAATAAAAATTATATTTTATATTATTAATTTTATAATTTTAACATTTAAATTTTATTAATTTTTTTTTAAAAATTATACATAAATCATTTTTAAATAAATTATATTTAGATAAAAAATTATTAAGTATCTAAACTAATGCAATATAAAAAATTATTTTAAACTCTTACAAAAGCATTGAATAATGGTTTTAAATATATGTATATATATATATATATATATATATATATATATTGATTATGTTATTAGTTAATGATAAATTATTGATGTTTTTTTTTGTTTAGAAAAAATGGAAGTATTATAAAAAAATCTTCAAATATATATATCTATCTATATATATTCTTTATTTCTTTCTTTTAATAAAGAAAATTTAAAAAATTCAACTTTGTTATAATTTCATTAAATATATATATATATATATATATATATATATATATGCACATTTTTAGTTTTTTTAATATTAATTGTCATCAACTCTGTATATCCTTAATAAAAAAAAATTATTTACTATTAATTATGTTTTTTTAAAAATATTTTAAAGAATTATAACTTATTTGAAGCTTATATGATAATTATAATATTTAACATAACAATATTATTTTTATAATATATTTTAATTATATTTGTAGTCAAATCAATTATTTTAAGAAAATAAATAATATATATGATATATAGACCTAGACATAGTTTGATTAATGACTAATTAACTATTGAAATTTGCAAACGGCTAGTTGCCAAATTGGTTAGTTAGCCGCAATTCAAGTAAGCTAATCCAGATCTAAAGAAATGTATTGAATACATCTGCTATATTATTGTATTGTAACATGGCTATTGGATGAAAGAGAAGAAAAAATATTATCTTATAAAAGAACTTGTATTAAAATATAGTAAAAAATTATCTTAAAATCATAGATAATAATTAAGAAGGTATTATAATTAATAAGTGCTAATGCTACCTTTTTATCAAAAAAACTTTTGTTTACTTTGTAAGACCATAAACAAAGAAAAACAAGGTAGATTAGTAAAAATAATATTATATAAATCTTAAATTGATACCTAAAGAGGGCTAGTTATGAATTAGGGTCAAAATCAATCATCAAAGTACAAAACCATGCACTTATGGCATATGAGGTTTTTTTTTGTCAATGAAAGTATGGATTTTGAGAACAAACTTGATAGAGTTTTACAAAAATTTGTTTTAAGAGATTTGAGTGCATATTGACTTTGTGAGAGCTTTGCAAAGTCATGGTTGTTTTATGTGATTCTATTTTGTGTTAAATAAATAAAAAAATTTTGATAAATTATGTACATTTTATAAAAAATCTAAAGATGAAATTTGGTAGTTTTTTGAATATCTTTTTATTAAATATTTTTTTGTGAATTTGAGCTTAATTAGATAATTAAATCAAACATAAGTAAGGTTCAATTAAGCTAGGGTCTTAAAAATTGGATTTTGAATGTTAGTAAGGGTTTTTTAGACTTTAAAAAATATGCAAGTTGGAATAGAATATTTTCTTTATGTACTAATATTTGATTACTTTTTATATTTTTGTAAATTTTGAAATAAATTTAACAATTCAAAAGCAAGATATTGAAGCTAGTAGTTTTGCTTTGAGGTTGGAAAAGGATGACATTCAACATCTAAGTGGATTAGAAGCATTTTCTCTCAATGTGTAAATTAGAACTTCTTCAAACTTTGTGTAGTTGTCTTCAATTAGTAAATTAATTTGTACAAAAAATTTAAATCAAGATCAATAATTCATATAGTAGTTATTGAGGTTTAAAATTTGATGCGGTATTTATTTAAGAATTTATTAGAATTTGTTATTATTTACTTAAAGTTTAGTTAAATTTTTTAAGATTCTATTAAGATTCAATAAGATTTGATTAGGATTTAATTAGAATTTATTTGGAATTTATTTTTAATTTTTCTAGAAAATTTTGTGAAATTTTTAGAATTTCTTTTGATTTTGTTAAATTTTCACTAAGATTTTACTGTAAGATTGTTTAAAGTTTATTTAAAGTTGAATATAATGTAAAAAGATTGTTCAAATTGTTTAAGATTGCAAAGGTATTTCTAAGCACCTTGTGCATTGTTTTTTGGGTTGTAAATCCAACTTTAAGATAAGACCATATTCTTCTACAACCAAAGGCCGAATGCATTTTAAAGCTACTTTTCACTTAACAAAATAATATATTACAAAATGCAACAATAAAATACATACAACAATAAGAAAATTCATACTATAGTAAGGAATGATGCATAACAATGGTTGGAAAAACCTTAGGTATTGTAGAACTACAACCTAAGGTTCTAGAAATTAGCTTCAACTATAGCTATATAAAATTCTCAGTGAACCAACCAACCAATTATATTAGCTTAACAATTGGCTCACTTTTAATAAACTAAGTGTTTAAATCTAATATTTTATATATTTTTTTAAATAAGATTTAAATCAATAATTATTTATAAAATTTAAGTAAGTTTAAAAAAACTATTTTTATTAATAATTGAATGTGTTTTAATTGTATTTATTGAATTTAAAATATATTTTTTAAAAATATAAATATATATTGAAAGTATATTATTTATTTAATTTTTGTTTATAAATATTTTTTATTCACTCACTTAAATAGAAAAATTACTCAAATTTCAAGTTTGTTTTTTTAAAAAACATAAAATTATACAACCTTATTTAAAGATTTATACAAATTCAATGTGATGAAAGATAAGGCACATGTATCCATGCAATAGCGTCCCCTTAATATGATGTGTCCTTTTTCTTTTTTGGTATCACACTGACATCACTTTCATCACAATTCAAAAGGACTAATTGTGTTTTACCACAAGGGTTTGATGAAGCTGCAGCGATGGAGGGGGGAGGGGAGGGGAGGCGTTGCAGCATTAAGCATGAGGGAAGGACCTCTGAGAGGCCAGTTGCAAGCAACGCAACATGTGGGTCATGTCTTCCACAGTGTTTTTGTGAAGGCCCCAGTACCAGATTCTCGACGTTGTGAATCCACGCATACACATACCTTGAAGCTGCAGTTAAAGGCAAAACTTCTCGTATTGAGTGATCTAGTTGGCATGAGCACAACTGAAACCGATTCTCAGCTGGGGCTGCGTCACGTACCTTGCGGCAGCAGGGGACCAACTGTGCATCAATGCACATAGCAGCAAAGACAAACACCGCCATGCATTGCCGTGTTTGGTGCAGCTTCCCGTGTTGGATCCAGCTCCACAACGGCTCTCCCGGATATCCATGCAGTTGCCTGCATGATTTGGCTTGCTGGGGGTGCGATCGGTTTTGTACAAAGTCGTCTGGGATCGCGCTGCGTTGTGAGGCTGATCAGGTGTACATCAATGAGAGCCACTATGCGGGGAGGTGGTGAGAGTTGTGGAATCAGGAGGAAAGAGCAGGCTAAGTAAGTAGAGGAGTGGAGAAACCTGCGTGGAAGGTCACGCTGGAAGCGTGGCCCAGGCCCACTGTGGCGCTCTCAAGTGAGCACATCCTTCATGTGATCCCCCCTTCTTCCTCTTATTAATCCAAGGTTCTCCTTCCATCCATTTCAGTGCCCCAGCGTACCAGCGCCAGTACTGCCTCCCGCTCTTATAATGAAACGGAGGCCCTTTCCATGGGTTAAATAATGTGGACCATTTTCCTGCCTTGAAACTCCCACCGTTCTCTCCTCCTCGTCTTTCTCCCCTTCCTCGCTGCATGCGGTGGTTGCCTAATCGACATCGATGACCAGATGCTCATAGAACCGGGATGATCGTGTGGAGGCATCTGTTTCTGTTGATGTAATTGAGTTGTCACAAGTCTAGTGCCCCCTCTGCTCTTGTCAGGCGTATGCTATTTCATGGCTACCTGCTTTCCCATGCTGCATTTACAAGCTTAGGCAATAGTCTGGGAGTGGAGTCCATGAGGTGCGTTTTGATGGTTGGTTTACGCAGCGTTACTGATGTGCATCTTTACTCTCGCAGCTGGAGAAGACCACGTTCGATCGTCGGACGCTTTTACGCAGTGACTAGAAGAGTTTCGTGACAGAGAACTGGAAGGGAATCTTGATGCAGCTGTGGTCTCAAGGCAGCCAAAATGGTTGGTGCATATATATGCAAAAGCAATCCACCAAACACTATTGCTATGAACAATTAGTTCGTGTGGAAACGCTAGTGAATGAAGGATCATGCTTCACTAATCCTATCTTTCACGAAAACTGATGAAGTGCAATCTATGACCGAAGTGGTGGATTTGCAAGGAAGTACCAGTTTGTGATGGCACGGGTGGAAATTATGTTTGTTGGTGATGTCGCAGAATCGACTAATCTAACACCAGTACATTTGAGTTGACATGTGAATATTCTCATTGCTGTTTGTATGAAAAATGATTGGTGTAGGCAACGGAGGACAGGCTCACCTTACCTTGGTCAAACGGAGAAAAGCTGAAGGACGCAGTGAGTAGTATGGAGAGGGAGCAACTTGATGATTCGCAGCAAGTATCTCCAGAATCCACCTCGTCTCGCAAGTTCGGCGGCTGGAAGACATCACCTTACATTCTAGGTACAATCCAAGACCATGACAAGTTCAGATTCAATCGGTGTAACCTGCTAGTATGCTAAGTATTGCGAAATACGGATATTGAACAATCTCTGAGCAAACATGTGCTCAAATCAATCGCAGGAAACCATGCTCTCACAACAATAGCATACTACGGGGTAGCCACAAATCTAGTGTTGTACCTCACTCAGATTCTCCATGAAGGGAATTCATCTGCAGCGGCGAATTACAGTAACTGGCTGGGGACGTCGTACCTGACCTCTCTAATAGGAGCCTTTTTAGGTGATGCATACTGGGGTCGGTATAGGACCGCGATCATCTTCTCCGCCATTAACCTATCCGTAAGCTCAACATCCTCTCTCACCCCACTGAAAAAACGATTCGCGAGATTGAAACCTTCAAACTGATTTCACTACAGTCAGGAATGGCCAGGAAGAGACTCAATCGAGCAACTACAGGAAGGATATAGCATTTGAGAATTAAAGCTTCATGCCAGTGTGTATGAGATCGATCACAACAAACTAGGTGTTCTAGCAGATGAACCTCCTCCTGTGATGTCCAAAGTGCTCAATCTGTAAGGCTTAGAATGTGGTGGTGTTGTGTTTTTGGCTCGCGTTTCAAACCCGTCGTCCTAACGATTTATAATACGCAATGCTAAACCTTGCGGTGCTATTGACAGGGAATGGTGATTCTGACCTTGAGTGTGACGCTTCCATACCTAAGACCACCACCATGTCCAGCCGCCATGGCAGCAATCCACGAGTGTCCTGAGCCATCGGTGCAACAAATAGGAGTATTCTACTTCGCAATATATTCTATTGCGTTGGGCGCCGGTGGGTTTCAGCCATGCTTATCAGCCTTAGGAGCCGACCAGTTCGACGAGCTCGATCCAAAGGAAAGCAAACAACAGAAGGTGTTCTTCAGCGTGTACTACCTCTGCCTCTGCGCGGCGGCACTCGTATCTGGAAGCGTGATAGTGTACATTGAGGCAAATGTCGGCTGGGACTGGGGGTTCGGGATCTCCCTCGGCGCACTAGTCGTAGGAAATTTTGTACTTGTACTAGGAAGTCGGCTGTACAGGCAGCATCCGCCGGCTGGTAATCCTCTGGCCCGGATCGCTCAAGTGGTGGTCGCTTCTATTCGGAAATGGCAGGTAGTGGCGCCGAAGGATGACACATTGTTGTACGAGGTAGAGGACTCGGATACTTCAGCCATTCAGGGAACCCGCAAGATTAAACGAAGCCATGAATTCATGTACCAAAACAAATCACTCCTCCCACTGTGTGCCACTTTTCGTAAATCGAAATCATTGCTTCGTCTTTGCCATCTTTCGCAGGTTTGGAAAGACATCTGAATGGCGTTTGGTTTAGTGCAGGTTTCTGGATAAGGCAGCAACAGCCAGTGAAGCAGAGAAGCAAGCCGCCCCAGGGAGCTTCAGCCCTTGGAGGCTGGTCACGGTTACACAAGTGGAAGAAGTGAAATTCATACTGAGGATCTTGCCCATATGGTTTTGCAGCATCATCTTCTCAGCGATCTACACACAAATGCTAACCCTATTTATAGTTCAAGGTGCAACAATGGACACCCGAATTGGGAGATTCAATGTTCCGCCGGCCTCCATCTCTCTCTTCGACTTCATTAGTGTGCTTTCCTGGGCACCGATTTACGAGTGGGTGCTTGTTCCGATGGCCAGAAGCTACTCGGGAAATGAGCGAGGGTTCACTGGGCTGCAGCGCATGGGAATCGGGCTCGCGGTCATGACCGTCGCCATGGTGGCCGCGGCAACTATAGAGATTGCGAGGCTGAAGACTGCTCGAATTCACGGCCTCCTTGATGCTGTCGACGTTCCTGTCCCTATGAGCATCTTCTGGTAGACACTAACCTCAACTACTTCACACATTGCACTGAAGCTCCGGAATACTAAATAAATAACACAACCGTACTTAGTGGAGCCATGCCCATCAGCGCTGAAAACAACCACCAGAAGCTAGAACACATTCCGTGTCAGATACATGAAAATCGAGCATGTCCGCTAATGGAAATTTATGGTTTGGGAACACATTGGTTTAAGCACTTTACCTTGCATCGTATTCAAAACCAATGTGTAATGTGCGCAGTATTAAGAAAAAACCCAATGCCATTGTTGATTGTGTTCAGGCAAGTACCGCAGTACTCGCTAGTCGGAGCCTCAGAGGTCTTCACCTACATTGGACAGCTGGAATTCTTCTACGAGCAAAGCCCAGACGGCATCCGTGGACTGGGAAGCGCCCTCGCGCTAACTACGTTCGGCCTTGGCAATTTCCTCAGCTCTATTTTGGTAACCGGTGTCACTAAAATTACAAGCACTGGAGGTAGCCCCGGCTGGATCCCAGCTAAAAACCTAAACCGCGGTCACCTGGACTACTTCTACTGGTTTCTTGCCGGACTGAGCACCCTAAACCTAGCACTTTACATCAAATGTGCACAGTGGTACCGAATCACGAGCGCGCAGCTGACCATCCCCAGCGGCACTTGCATGAGCCCCACGGGTTGCGCCGAGCACAAGTCATTCCACGACCAAGAGACGGCAAATCTGTAATGGAATGATCGACACAGTAGGTTGTCAAGGAATTGAACCCACCACCATGAAATCATAGCTACCATTGTTTTCTGAGCACCATCAGTTGTTTCTAAAGCTGCATGATTAGATGCAGTGCTCTGTAATTGAAAAATCTGACAATTTATTGTATTGGACACCATCTACTTTGAGTATGTATGTGTCTCGCTGTGATCGGCAGCACAAATTTACATTCCATGCCCTCTTTGTACACGGTTCGCCACCATCAAATCCATCCACCGGATCGTGAAGAATCAGAACAGTTGACAACGTTGTCTGGGATACTGGCTGCAGGAGTCGATCCAGCAACATATATTCATTACTCTGATGTGTCCACCTTGTTAGATTGGTCTGTGTCTCAAATTGTCGCAATAAAGGAAGGATAAGTCGAAACCTGCCGCCAAGTGACGTGTTACGACTCAGACTCAGAGGCACCAGTGCCGTCATCTGCTTGGGGAGCAGCTCTGGCGGCAATACACAACGACAGCAGCATCTTCAGTCATTCCTCGGGGACGCGTTCGCGCCGACAGAGGTGAATGCAAAATTCCCTGTGCTTCAGCACATGGGAAAGGCGGGGGAGGAATGTGACAAGACGTGGAGGATGCCATGGAGGACTTACTAGTGTGCCTCAAGAGGTAGGACTGTAGAAACTTGAGAGGAAATGAGAGTGCCATGGGAATTGAGCAAAATTGCCCTTAGTTTCAAACATCCTTGCTTCTGAAGTTTGATCACTGCGGTGACAATATCTTAACAGCAAAAAGATCCCCGCCACAGTACTCTGAAGCTTGACGAGTCTCTTAATAATTGGAAATAAAAAAAATAAAACAAAAAAAAACAAAACAAAAACAAAAACAAACAAACAAACAAACATAATCACCCACGTTTGCTCTGAAACTCTCTCTGCTTGAATCGTAGCAGAAAGAACTCTTGGTTCACACGAACGTGCGAGAGTCGTTGCATCGGCAAGAGCTGGCAAGTGTAACATGGATCTCTGCAAGTAACGGATTGGGGTTAGTTTTTAGGGCGTGCAGTAGGTGGGATAGACGGCGGATGGACAAGTTGCGAGTGTGAGGAAGGGAGAGCTAAGTGGAAGACCCCTCTGTAAAATGAGGTCAGCATTTACGTGGGACCCGATATCTAAAATTAGTCTCGCCCAGCACATTCATGTCCATCATTTGCATTCCCTGGAGTCAGACTTTTCACTAATGCTATATTTGCTCCAAGCACCACCAGAACAGCTTAACTCTCCTAAGTTTCTATGGCAACAGTTCAACTGCTACAACGAAAATCAAGCCAGCAATATATCAGAGATTTCTAAGTACTGAGGTACGCAAAAGCGAGAGAGAGAGAAATCTATGAGACGATAAATGAGACATACACCTCTAGTGTCATCGTGCAGCGAGCCACCATGTTATATTTTGAATAAGGAATATCGAACCAAATGTTTCGGAGAGGTAGCATGGACAACGCGTCAAAGAATCATGCCTTGTCACATACATTTGGATTCACAGAAACATTTCGAAACCAAAGAGAGGCGGTCTCAGATACTAACCAAATATAGCGGTAGTTTTGTCGTATATTATAAATGCTATTATTGTCTAGTGCCCCAGTCACTGGCAGCGCGTAAGCTTCGGAACCACCCTACCGACTAGTGCTCCGACGACACCCACTTCATTTTAGCTTTCACTTTCGCCCTATTAGGAACAATCACTGGTGACAGGAACTGCCTTGTGGGAGGTACTTAGCACCTTTATTTCGCAGTAGGCAATTTCATCTGCTTCACAGGTAAGTAGGCAGTGACGGCACTGTTTGCAGAGCTGCAACTTGTGGTGTTAAACCCAAACACCCTGTGCTCCGTCACAATCTCAGTAGCTTGCTAGGACAGAAGACTAGGTGGTTTTTGGACAAGGTTACGTTGCTTGGTGTACACTCTGGTGATTTGGAGCTCTCTGTGGATGCAAGTGTAAGATAGGGAAATGGCAACAGCATGGGAATCCGAGTACTTTGACAAGGTCACTCCGGGAGAGAGGGAGAGAGCAGTGCCGCCGATGGTACCACAGCAAACCCCTCCGCCGGTATACATACAACCCCAGGTCTCGAGGAACGGTATAGTTGCCAGCATCGTTCTACGGCTGCTCACATTGATCTTCGCCGTTGTAGCGCTCGCTGTCCTTGCTAGCAATACAGGGAGTTTCCAGGTGTCGACGGGTTCTGCAACTTCTGTTAAGACCATCAAGTTCACGATCTTGTCTGCGTTCACGTAAGTCTCTTGATCCCTGACCCTCCTCTGTCTGCGTTGTACGTTATCCTTTGATTCTCTGAAGAGCCTTTGAGTGTCGGAACTTGCACCGGATCTAGGTCGTCAATTGTGATGCCTCATTCATGGTTCAAATGCGGCATTTCTCCTTCACGATTGAAAGGTTTGTCGGTTTCGGTAGTAAGAATAAAGTCCTCTTTAGACTCTTCCTGTGCGATGTCGATTCAGAGACGACAGATACGCTTGTTTAAAATGAAACACAAAAAAAAAATATAGCCCATCCTTGAACCTCGAGGTGAAGCTTCCGTTTGTTCATGTTGCAGGTATTTGTTTGCCGTATGTGGCGTCGTGGCCGTGTATTCTCTCCTATTGATCATCGTTGAGATGATCGATTTGGCCGTGAGAGGCTTCACGACCCACACACTCGTAGCAATTTTCGTCTTCGTTCTCGATCAGGTACATACTCGAACCTCATCTCTCCAAGTCATCCACGTATGTTTTTTTAATCTGAGCACATCCTCAGCTCTGCTTGTTTTACAGAAAAAAGTCCTGTTTTCGCTCCTCTTTTGGAAAACAGCGCATGCTAACCCTCTGCGCATAACTGGGCTCAACAGACTATGGCTTACGTACTCATATCAGCAGCCTCTGCCAGTGCCAACGGCGTCAAGGTCAGCAGAGACGAATCCAACATCACAGGCTATAAGTTTGACATCTCGTGTTCCAATTTGGGCATTGATGACTATTGCACCAAAGCCTCGGCGTCAGTCGCCATTGCCTTCATCGCGTTCTTGTTCATGGCCATCACTGCCGGAGTCTCCGCACGCCGTCTTTTCAAGTTACCGTAACTGGACGCACCAGTCGTCGTTTGAGCCGTAGGGACCCACCAATCTCGACCTCCTTCACAGTGCACCCTGACACCGGTGATGATCACTAACTCTATGCGGCGGTCTTACACCATAACTCAGAGACTCCTCATCCTGCAGGAACCACTCGGTACCCAGCTTCCCACCCAGATTGCTGCATCAGGAAAGCATCTGAATTAGTCTTAGTCTTCATGCTTGTAGTAATAGTAGTAACGTTACCTCTTCATTGTATCCAGTTTTGTGCGGAATTCCCCACTCCAGCCAAACCCTGAGAGCAGCAGTTTCGTTTGATCGAACTAGGGTTGTAATGATCCTTCCTTCATGATGTGCCCTCGCATTATGTACCTTCCACCGACACTCACTGTTATGTATGGAACCATAATGATGTTTTTTGGATCAGACACACTTTGGAGTAGAAGTTTGTACCATGTGATACCGTGCTTAGGAAGAGAACCCAATTTGGTGCTGTAGATGTTTTGTGGTTACAGTGGTATATGTACGATGGTAACGTAAGCGTCAGTGGGCATCGAAGCAGTTCTTACGCATTGCAGTTAGATTTGTCCTATGAAGATGTTTCTTATGAACTCCATGATGATATTCTCTTGTTCTGGAAATATCCTCTATGGATAGAATTTTATGTTTTGGTTCGTAGAATAAGAGAAAAATTCTGACCAGTCTGAGAGTTTATCTCATGGGAAATGCAACCCCAATTGTTCTTCTTTTTTCACGCAAAACGATGGCATGCATAAATTTATATGTACATATTCAAGAACGATGAAATACAACCCACACCTTGGCATGTGCCTCTGATTCTTGCCAAGGAATAGGACGTCGTATTTATTCGCAATTAGTAAAGAAAGTATACAAAGAACAAGCCACGTTTAATTGGAAAGGCAGTTCACCATCCGAAAACAATACATTATCACCCTTCTGCAATCTAATTGTATATCAGTCGCACTACTGCCACCACCTGCTACATTCAATGATGCTTACCTGTCACTCATTCGCAGATACTACATTGATATCAAGTTTATGCCTTCGTCATACACTAAGGTGGAAGCGATAGGCAATACTGATAAATTAATTCATCACCACTAGCAACTGGTATACTTGCATTTGTCTTAACGTTCGTAAAAGAATAAGTCATAGAAAAATAATTTCGATGACAAACACCTCCTTGAAACAGTCCATCGTGTGATCTATATCTGTTCTACATCTACATACATATTTGATGGTTCCATAGTTCCAGTCAATTTTCGAAAAGCGTATGTGAAGTTACTGCAACCAATATACTGTTCACTCGTATCTTAAAAGGTAGTACTTTCACATTCTTCATCTCATGAGATTTAACTTCTTATTCATGCTAGAGCTTCAGTGCAAAAAACATCATTTCGAAATAGAGCAGTTTAAATAAAGATTTAACCGTTGTAAAGCAGAATTCAACATTGATTCGCTTATCAAGGGACACAATCTCACAAAATATCCATGTAGTCCTTAAGCACTTGCTTTTATCACTGTTACAACTGTCACCATGTTATATAATAATCACGTATAAAGGATGTGCTGTAAACATTTTCAAATATAAACTTTCGTGACAATGCAGACGTGTCATATTTCAAAATATAAAAAATAGAAACTTCCAAATCATCTACAAAAATATGAAACTAGATAAAGCATTTACATTTAGCAGTGGTTTAATGAAGCAAATGTATGGTCAGCATTCTCACGGTTCTGTGGCATTCAATCTCGGTCAGTGGAACAGTGGAGGACCGTTCCCCTCAACGATCCCGATGCACAGGGAACGCGTAGATGCTGAGGTGCGCAGCGGTGCGTTGCAGGAGTCTACCTCATGTCCAGCTCAGACGCGGAGGTTTGAGCTGGCATAGCATCATTATTTCTATCTGGAGTCCGTGTTTTTCGAGGATCGAGAATTGGATCGTAGTGGGCAAGTGGTGGACGACTTTGTTGTGGGAGTCCTCATCATATTTCGGCGGGAAGCATGTTTCCACGGGGGAATGGGGGAATTGGCGCGCTATATATTTGTCGACGTGGACTACCTTTTTTGTCTTTTCTGTGCACTTCTCGGATCTCGGTCTGGCCGTCCATTTTAACCTGATGTGGGGACATGTTCGAATGAGCTTTAAAACTAGCGTACGCGTTCCCTTGTGCTCGTTCTATATGGGCCCCACAGTTTTATCTATCAACTTCTTGAATTTATTGGTTATGTTTTTGTTATCCGTATGTATATATACATATGTATATTTTTTGACATAAACGAGTTCTACCCAATGCATTAATTAACGGTTTAGCATTATAAACAGAGGCATTTCTAATCGTAACACCTTGTATTAAAGGGTGGATTAAGAAGCATTGTGGCAATTAATCTCTAGTTTTTATTGTTAGTTGTTGTTTAAAGACTCATGAGGTACCAAGCCAATTTGTAGAATTTTCAAGTTTTTTTTTTTTTTTTTTTTTTTTTTTTCTATCATAATTTCTTGTATTTTCTTACTTTCTTGTATCTTATGGAATATATATATAAATTCAAGAAGTTAATAGGTTGATAATTGGGCCAACAAATTGGCTATGTGTCACTATATATATATATCAAAAGTAAAAAAATCAAAGATAGTTATAAGATAGAAATTAGAATGTCTATTGCCAAATATAAGAAGTCTAGAAGTTCTTGAATAATGGTTAGAAATAAGAAAGACATTGATAAGATTGAAGAAGACTTCACTCTTGCCTTTATATATACTATCTAACTAAAGAACTATGTGACAATGATTTATAGGTCATCCAACGTGTGTCCAACTTGCAATACAAGTTTCCAACATATGCACCATATGACCAATACGTGTGATAAGTGAATGACATACGCAATATGTAGCCAACTTTGTAAGCAAGTGGTCAATATGTGTGAATCGTAGCCAATTTGTTGGCCCAATTATCAACCTATCAATCACCTATCAATACTTAAAAAGTCAAGTCTATATTTGTATAGCTTCTAAGAAGCTTATTTGTAAGACATTATTAAATTTACTTTTTTTTGCTTACTTCTATTTAACTTCTATAATTTAAGTAAATACTAATATCAATATATCTATCTTTTTTCTTTGGTAATAAGTGCTTGAATTATATTACATCAATATATGTAGATTTTAGCCATAATAAATGTATTTTGAAGATATTTATTTTTATTTTTTATTACTTTATTTATCCTTTCTAATAATTTTTTTTTGGTGATTTATAAAGATTCAATTGTTGCATGCAATTGCTTAAGTAATAAGTTATTTAGACAAATATGCTTTTGGGATTGTTAACACTAGATCTTTCATATTATATTTTAAGTTGTATAAAAATTAATTAATAAAAGCTTTATTGTTCTAATTCATATCTTTAGTAAGTTTTTTGAATTTTGTAGCATTGATAGTAATTAAAGATAGTTCTTATTGGAAAAATTAGAATTTATTTTTATAATCTATTATTAGTTATTCTTTTTAAATATAGTTATAAATGCTTCTAAAAATAAATTTGAATCTAAAATATCTTAAATAATTTTTTTATCAAAGGTACAAACTAAAAAATAATATTTCTAAATAGAAGTGTGTCTATAAATCTTACTTGAGAAATACTATAAAAGTATCAAAAATGATGTAATTGTAAAAAAAACTTAATATATTGTATAAATCCTTAAATATTTTATTATGTTCTATCAAATTTCTCTAGCATATTAATACTTGGTTTTTTTGTATTTAATGTTATAAGAGTTTTAAAATTCACTCATGAAGTTTATTTAATTGCAATTACTTATCTTAATTTTATAATTTTTCAATTTAAATATTAAACTTTGTTGTTAACTTCTTAATATAATTAATAACAATACCTCTATGGTTAAAATTGCTTGTATTGGAGATTTTTGCCTAAAGAATATAAAACAAATCATGATAATCTGTAATACTTATAAACCTATTATTACTTCTTTCAAGTCAAGCATTTGTAGTTTTATTTATTTATTTATTTATTTTAATTTTTTTTACCTATCTAAATTGATTTTTATCTAAAATAGATAACTCTAATAAACATACAAGTAAAATTAAAAGAAAGTAAGACACAACATCAATTTCTACAAAAAAGATCAATTATTTTTTTTGAGAATAAAACCTATATTTGAAGAAAAAAATATTAATTTAAAGTTGACTTATCTACAATATTTAAGACATAAGAATATTTTTTAAGAAGTGAAATAATTTACTCACTTATTAAACAAAACTATTATAAAAAATTAATAGACTTCTAAAAATTTTAAAGATTTTAATTAAGATAAAAATTTGAAAAGATAATACATTCTTGTGCTACTAAATAAAAAAAATTAGACAAATAAAAAATTAAAATAATATAGAATAAAATCAAAATGGTGATTTTAGATTATTTAAAAATTAGACAAACTTAAATTAAGATTTGGATACAAAAAAGATACCTACAAGATTAAAGTTGATATCGATTTTTTTCATATATAATAAATATCAATAAGATCTTGTAAAAACTTCCTAAAAACTATATAGCTTGTGGCCTAAGCCTCAACATCCTAAAAAAAGAAAAAGAAAAAGAAAAAGAAAAAATTATTAAATTTTATTTATTAGCTATGTAGCATAAATATAGGAATCTAAATATATTTTTTTTCTAAAAAAACTCTTTGAAGCTTTTTAAAGAAGATATTATTTTCCTAACATATTTTTATTTACTTTTATTATATTTTTTTTATTTCTATTTATTTAAGTAACTATCATGATTATTAATATTGACATTAGTAATTAAGAAGATATTAAGAGATAGATAGAATTATGTAAAAATAGTTTAATTTGATAATATCTTCGTAAGATATTTTTTTAAATGCTTCACACATACTAATTTTACTTTTAAGGATTTATAGGTATTTTTAGATTGAAAACTTGGCCAACAAGTTGGTCATGTATTGCACATGTTGACCACTTTTTTTACAAGTTGAGCATATGTTGCACATATTAACCACTTTGATATAAGTTTGCTACATGGTACACATGTTTGAAACTTGTCTTGTAATTTAGATACATATTTTGCATGTTAGATACATAGCAAATGACCTATAGAGTGTTGTTATTTAGCTCTTTAATTAGATAGTATATATGGAGGTAAGAATGAGACTTTTCTCACTCTTATCAATGCCTCTCTTTATTCTTTCCAATTTTAAGAATCTTGAGTCGTCTTGTCTTTAGTAATAGCTATTTGAGTTTTTTCTTGAATACATATCTTTTTTAATTTTTAATTTTTTAAAATTATTTTTAATAAACATCTAATTCTGTCTAATAATATTTTTTGAGTTATTTTTATTAATAAATTAATTAAAATATAATTAAAATATTAAATATTTGACTTTTTTGATTAAGATCAAATTACTTATTTTTTTAATAAAATATAAAAATATTAGAATTTATAAATTATATACTTTTAAATTGATATAATTTATAGAAATTCTTTTATTTTTATTTTTTATCTTTTTACATTTATTATCACAATTAAAATTGGATTTTTTTTATTATATTATTATACTCAAGCTTCTTAAAATATATAATACAATAGCACATATATGGAAGCAAAAATAAATAAATTAATGCTTGCAATGCATTAGTTCTATTCA